CTATGGCTTTCCAAACATGATTACTTGGATTTAAATATTTTTATTTATTTATTTATATATTGCCATGTTTGAAATGCAAAGGGCTTGGAAAGTAGGAGTTGAGATGATTATCGATTTGAATAGTTCGATGAGGAATAAAACTATAATTGTTAAGAAAGGCATGTATTTTATTTTAAAAACCATCATAGGTTACCAAGGTTGACTTCAGATTAAATGTTGCCTTCGAAATGAATGTTACCTATGGAATAAATTGTTGCCTTCGGATATGACGATGTCCACGGACATCTTAGTTGCCTTCGGTTAAGTCAGCGCGTGTTTGACAATGCTCCACGAGTTTCGGGGACGTCCGGACCGTGTGGAGTAAGGAATGCATATCAAGTTGACTAAATGTCCCCTGAATCCTGCGAGGATTGCGGCTCGGATTACTTTGTGTTCCCGAGGCCTGCGAGGACGTGTCGCTTAGGTGGCACGAGGAATTGACGGAAACTAAAGGAATTGACATATATAAAAAGGGTACACCTAGGTGGTAGGGAAATCTTTATTTTCAAAGTTTGAACTAATGTGAGAATTACTATATAAATATAAATATGCGTGCCTGTTTTCAGTACAAGTATAGTATGTGTATGTAATTGAGTTTTCTAACTATTTTTACGGAGGGATTAGTATGTTCGTATGCTATTTTCTCAAACTTTGTTTTTGGTCCACTCACATTTTTCAATGTTTTGCGCCCCCAAGCATTAGACGTGCATCAGAGCGCCACCATAGGGCAGACATCACACTTCATCCATCCTTTCCGCTACGTAGGACCTTTTTTGCAATTAAACTATTTCGTTGTAAATTCTGATTTTAGTTGCTTTGATATTGCCCTAGGTTTCGATATGTCCTAAGGTCGTCTTGTTGTGTTTGGATTGTCTGGATGTAAATTGAAAGCATGCTGACAGTTGAGAGTCGGGGTGGCATTTTAAACCGAAAAATCGAAAAACCGCAAAAACCAACCGATAATTTACCGCAATGAAACCGCAATCGCGGTAAACCAAACCGCATTTGCGGTATTAAGAACCGAACCGTATTTGCGGTTGCGGTTACGGTATTTGATTTTCAAAACTTACGGTTACCGCAAACCGCAAAGTATAGCTGCACGGATGATGAGGTTGAATTCTACAAGGAAATGGAACATATGACAACTTGTAAGTAATTAGTTTATTTATGCTAATGTTATTTATGTTTCTTTTTATAATAAAATGTACTAAACCATGTTGTTTTATTTGTAGATAACATTGGTGCTCAAACAACACAACGGGGTTCTTCAAATCCACTCACCACCAACACTTGAGTTTGTAACTTTAGTTTGTAACATCGGTGCATTGCATTTTCCTTTTAGTTTATAACTTTAATTAACTTTGAATTGGATTTTTCTTTTTGGTTGTAACTTTAATTCATTTTGCTTTGCATTTTCTTTTTGGTTTGTAACTTTAAAGGATTTGGAATTGGAATACTTGAGAAGTTTAACTTTAATTGGAATGCTTGTAATTGTAACTTTAATTTTCTTAGGTTCTGAATGCTTGAGAAATTGAGGAGATTGTGAATTTATATATGCTTGAGAAATTAAGGTTGTGTATTTATTTATTTAGGTTGTGAATTTATATTTTTGTGAATGCTTGAGAACTTGCGGTTTTACACCGCTAATTCGCAGTAACCGACCGCATTTTGCGGTTTACCGCAATGCGGTTCCAAAAATCAACAAACCGCAAATAGTCGGTCGGTTTGCGGTTTGAGTAAAAATTCGCGGTTACCGAACCGCAACCACCCCTAGTTGAGAGAGAGATAGAGAGAGAGAGAGATATATATATATATATATGCTTGTTCAACCGGTGAAAAATTTGGGAAATGAACAATTTACAGGGGAGACTCTGCCGAATTTTAGGCAGAAGTTGGTCTTGTGATAAACTTTGATTTTTAATTAGAAGGGCAATTCAGTCATTTGTACATGGCACCCTCCAGGTGTCGGACACGCACAGAGTTCAGCTTGGATTCCAAAGTGGAATTTGGGTCGGGCCCTGTGAACTTATGAGGAGAAGCACCTCCCACGTGTTTCTCTATATAATCACTTTAATCACTTATGGGGGAGAAGCACCTCCCATGTGCTTCTCCATAAAATCACTTTAAACCACTTTGGCGAAAAAAAGCAATCCCAAACAGGGCCTTAAACGAGCCCGAATCACCTATCACTTTAAGTGATTTTTACGTTGCTAGGGATGGGGAGAAGTGTTTCTCCATAAAATCACTTAAAGTCATTATAGCATCTCTAATGCACAAGTTGCAAATTGGATGTGTAAAGCCACATTTACATCTCACTTACACCTTTAGAGGATGTAAGGGTCATTTGGGAATGATTTTAGATAGGCCAAAAAGCACTTCTATGGAGAATTACTTTAGATGATTTTAAGTGAGAGTAGGAGATGGAAGAAGGGAAGAGAAGAGGATGAGAGGAGAAGGGAAGAAGTGAGAAGGGGAGAGGGGAGGAAGAGATTAGGGGAGTAAATTTACATACCTTGTATAAATTCGTTTTTGTGTTGATTTTTGTTTTGTATGAATTTACCAAAACAAACTTTTCACCAATTAATTAAAACACAAAACTTGTAATAATTAACCAAAACAAAAACTCATGCTAACCAACCAATAAAATAAAATAAAATATAAACAATTAGGTTGTGGATTGAAACCAATGTTTTAAAAGGCAAGGCACTCATTGAGATTTTTTATGCCTTATAAGATGAGACATAAGCCTTAAAATTTTAATGCGTAAACGTTTTGAACGTAAATTATTGCAATTAAAAATATATTTAAAAAAAAAACACAAGCCTTTTCAATTATAATATGTTTCAAGCATAATGAAAAATTCCAGTATAATAATAAGTGGTATGAACTAATTTATTTGAAGTTTTGAACCATGAAGGACAAGTATCTAGAATTTTATAACTTTTATTGAAATTTTGTGGCAATATAATTGTAGGGGCTTTTTTTCTTCCAGCAGCAAGTGGGCTGGGCTGCTGTAAAGAGCAATCTGATGCAAGTGTCCCCTTGTGTCTGGGTTCGAAGATCAAGCCCCAAGGATGTCTCGAAAGGGTGATGACGCCTTAGGAAACTCCTTGGTTACCTTCACCGATGAAAATGACAACAAATTACAGATAAATATTCTAGCTTGACATGAGTGACTATGGCATGGGAGCAAAAATTATCATGGGTTTAGCACTTTAGGAGAGAGAGCTGTGGGTTCCTATGAGGTACAAAGGTTCTAATGGAGAGGGAGAGAGGTTCTAAGGAGATTTGATGAAGAGGGAGAAGGATGGTGAAGAGTTTTTGGTGACTTTCGCAGTTTCCGGCAACTTGACAGCGCAGCTTGACAGTGACTCTGTCAAAGCTTCTGTCAATCTGCCAAAACAGGGGAAATAAAGGAAAATGAGGAAGGATAGCACGAAAATTCCTGGGTTTGCATGTGAGAGAGAAAGCTTGCTCTCTGAAGGTTGTGGGTTGTCTCTGTTGGGTAGGGGAAGACTCAATTTATAGTTGCTGGAAATCACCATTTTTCAAGAAACACTAATGACTTCTACTTATTTTGGCTTAGTTTTTTCTTCCTTTCTCCTCCTCTTCTCTGACTTCCCTTTCTTGGCAAAGATTGCTTCTGTCTATTTTCATGAATTCAGGGGATTTTGGGGCTCAACATCCTCCTTTCCCACAGCTGTGCAGTAGGAGCTTCTACTCTTGGTTTGCTGTTTTTTCTTCTTTCCTTTCCTCTGTTTTAACCAAATCTGGCGAAGGAAAGGAAGTGAAGATGCATACTGGTCCAAGGGATGCTTCTGACAGCATGCGG